CAGGGACCCCTCACCTGCCCTGAGGTCAGATGTGTTTGGGACTCCTGGCAGGGGGGCTGTGTTTGTAAGGATTTTTAATACTGGGACATTTTTCTTTAAGTTTATAGACTTGACTCACTTGCATATTTCTTTCATGCAATATAATGTCACCTAAATTCGTTTCCTGCTCACCAGAATTAGTATTTTTGGTAAACTTTGCTGAAAACCAGTTCTTCACACTGTTCTTGTTCTGGATCTGCCTCCTTGAGCTCTGACAATTCCCAACACAGGTCTAAGAGCAAAAAGCTGCCCTGGCTATATATTAAGCACAACATAATTTTTCTGTAAGAAAAGTCAGTATATTTATGGTTTGCTTTATAAAAGTTACTATAATACAATGGTACATAGTATTCAATTCACAAAAATATGAACAAATATATACAGCATGACACATCCACAACAAAAACACTTTCTTCAAAACAAGATACATACTGGTGACAGATTCTATATGCACAAAACATCCCTAAAGTCATAAATTTGCTTAACGAAAGAAAAAGCAGAAATCCTAAATCTTCAAAGCAGAGTTGTTGCCTTTTTTTTTTTAAGGAACTTAAAAAAAAAAATAAGTTGTTTTTTTTTTTCCATTTATTGCAAATCATTTGACCTGCTTACTTTTAAAGGAGGCCTCTTGATTTCCACGCTGGGAATTAAAACAACCAGAAAACTGCAAGGATTGGGAGCTGGGTGTTCTTCCACTTTTAAAACTGCCCCGTTGTTTTAGAGTGTCCGTTTCGATGTGTTTCTTTTCAGTTGGACAAATCCTACAGTGGCAATTAAGGAGGAAACTCATAAAAACAAAACAAATATTAAACTGAAAAAATCCAGTTGCAAACCTGCTTAAATACATTTTAGGGTGTCTATTAGACTGTACACATTTCCTCGCTTGAAATAAATAGATTTTGCACGTTAGGTTTCAGACTGAGGGGTCAGGGGAAAGAAGAAGCCTTGACTTGGCAATTTTTTGACTTCAGTTTCTTAATGCTTCTAATTTCATCTATTTATTTGACAAAAAACCCTCATATTTATACAGAATTTACATTATACAAAGCTTGACACAAGCTGTAAATGCCACCAGCTCCTTTGCTATACTCAGTCCTTCTTCCTCCCCATCTCGACATGATTTAGAGCTGGAATCTGTTTAAAAAGAACTCCAAATTACAATAGTCACTTTTAATAAACTATTTACATGCTCTTGAAGTACAAAGAAATCAGCAAAAAAATTTCAACATGTTTCTACAAGAAACAGTGTTTGAAGAGAAGATTCTTGAGTTTGCCTATGTACAGAGGATGCATTTTTTTTTATACTTCAAAATCCTTTTTTTTCCTTAAATTTTTATTTTATACAGAAATGCACTGAAATGATCCCTGAAAAAGGTCACAAAAACTGGAACTGAAACTACTGTATAATTTGTTGAAGTTTAAAAATGTTGGTTTTCTTTTTTTCCTTGTAGAAATAAGCTGCTCTATACAATATAAATAACTGCAAGATGAGCCCCTTCCCCTCCTGGATCCACGAGAGTCACAGACCAACTTTGGGACCAGCCTGGGACTGCAGGTGGGTGTGAACTGCACGGATCAACGGAGGTGTTGGGCAGCACTTCCTACGGATGCCACCGTGGAGGGACCTGCACCCTGAACTCACACCAGCTTCCTGTCGGGAAACTAAAGGTTTAAGCTCTCCTTCCAAAATTTTGCATTGTTCTCCCGGGTGATTTCTCCCAGCGAGGTGGAATTTTGCAGGGAGCACAGTCGATGTCTCTCTCTCTCATTATTGTCTCAGACTTCAATTTAAGTGACAATAAACTGGGGACAGGCTTTTCAGTGAACAAAACCATTTCAGTCTCTCTGAAAGCAGCACGTGCTGGTGAGGTTTCCCTTTAGTCCTTGTCTGTGTTTCCATGGGGTGCCGGGGTGCCCGTGCTGAGCGCGGGAGAACAACGCTGGGGGTGACCCAGGCTGTGCGTGCACCACACACCTCCTGCCCTCCTCTCATCTCACCCCTTGCTAAGTACAAGCCAAAGGACCTGGAGGGATTAGAGGCATCTCCAGGGGTGCCTTCCCAAACCACATCTGTGGCTGCAGGGCTCCCCTGGCCCAAGGAGACCCCGCAGGGACAGGGCAGCCACAGGCACCCGCAGCGCTCATGGAAATCACTGCACTGGACTTGCAGTCCTCACCATAAAATGATCTGTTCTGGGGTTGGGGCAGCTTCCCAGTCTGAGACAAATATCCCAGGTAGGACTTTGCAAGCCAAGATTTACAGGGAAGAAAAGAGAAGCCTCAGGTTTGGCTTTGAGACCAGACCAACATGATTTTTCAGAAGTGCTATGAATCCAACAGCTCTGTTTCCTTCTGGGGAACTACTGAGAGCTCAGCTCTCACAAAACCTTACGTTATTTGTCCAGGATCCTAAAAAGGGATGGATTACAGGCAGTTTCAGAAGTACCCAAGTGATTTAGGTGCTCATGGACTTTGGCACCCAAATCCCTTTGGTGCTCCTAAAAATGCAGCGAAAGGTCCCAAAGGTGACTGTGACCTTCCTCCCCGCCTTCCTCACCACAAACTGCAGGGGCTAATCCCATCCAGAGCACACAGATATGCTGGGAAACACAGAACTGCCATCAGGTTCTTGGGGCTGGGCCATTTGGGGTGTTCTCACCCCCACAAATCCACTGTTACTGCACTGGCTGGATGGACCAGAGAGGGATAAGGCCAAGGCCATGGGCCAAAATGCTGCACACATGAGCTTCAGTTCTGAGACACAGGAAACTTCTGTGCATTTCCAAAGCTTTGAAAGTCAAAGGCCAAGCTGTAGAGATGCCAACTGGAGCCTCAACACAACAAAATGAACCTTCTTAAAAAACCCCCAAAACTAAACTAAACCGAGCAGCTGGTTTAACTCCCAAATGCCATCACTGCAGTTACAACCAACAGTCAGTGACAGAAACTAGTTGTGCTTCACAATTTTAGGTTCTGGGTCACCAATACCCAATTGCTGGAGAGATTTATAAAGAAGGGGGGGAAACAACAAAACCAAACCAAAACAAAAGCAGAGATGAGACTATGGACTGTCAGCAACAATCTGCTCACCCTCAGACAGAAATACAGGAGGTATTAAGGCAGTTTGGAGCAGTCTGTGTGTTCCTGCCCTTTCAGGCCTTTTATCTGAAGAAGAAATTCAGATGCAGAGGTCTAACCTACATTACAAGCTCCACTCAGCAGTGCAGGCCTGGCAATTCCATGGAACAGCTGAAAAAACTTCCAGGAACCTCTTTTGCAAGGTTGTAACCTCTGCTCACGGAGGTTTGAAAGGCTACAAGAAAACAGCTGTGTAATTGGTTCTGTGGGGAGAAGATGTTTAGTTATGCAGATAATCTTCCCATTTCATAATGACATTGCAACTTCCCCTTATAAGCCAATTAAAAAGGGTTTAGTACAGCTAATCTCTACTTTTAAAGCAGGAGAAATTCAATGCAAGTTGGAAAACTGATCCTGTCTATACCTGAACGCTCACATAACATTTCCAGATCACATCCAAAGAACTATTTCTTTGGTGTTTTGCCCCATTTTTAAATGGAACCCCTTGAAGAACTGCAACACAGCACATCCACAAGGACAAAATATACCGAGAAATCATTTCAAGACATGCCTTCCAAATTTGGAGAAGCATTCATCATTTCCATGCTGTAGATGGGGGGGGACAGGATTGTTCTCAGGGACACTTTTACCACGATCTTACTGGAGGGATGGGACCACCCCCAGGCCAAGTTACTGAGTAACAGAGGGAGGAGAGCGGCACAGCACAGCTTGCTCCTATCACAGGAGGATCTCCCACATTCAAATACAGAGCAAATACTCCACTTAAACACTGGAAAGGGCAGGGAAATGCAGATGAAAGGGAGAAAAGTGAACACGAGACACACATCAGCCTGTTTCCCATCTATGGGAAGAAAATCCTGTTCCAAACGTGGGCCATAATCTTTGCTTACAAGCAGGGCAGAATTTCTACAGCTGAGTTCTCCCCTTAATCTCAGCCTCTTCTGCATGCAAGACAAACCCATCTCCAAGGAATGGGCATCCCCAAAGGCCACACGCTGTGCCACGATGCTACAGCTACACGACTGACTCCAGCTCTCACTGTGATTGCAGTATCCAAGCATTTCTCACGCAGGGGTGCAGAGGTTTGGATCCCCCATAGACCAGCATGGCATAGAAAATGAGAGACGAGCCCAAGGCCGAGAGTTGAGGTCTGTGCTGACCCGACTCTGCCTCCGGGGGTCTGGCTGAGGGGATTTGTTCAGGCTCATCCCTAACAAAAAGGCAGGACAGTTCACCTCTAGTCTCATTGTGGACATATCTACACACACACACCCCCAAGCACACTCACACGCTCATTCACACACCCTCAAGCCTCTGGCTTGCTCTGTAACATCAACCTTACATTTATTTACAGCTTACTCTGAGAAATCTGTGCAATTTCAGCCAATCAAGCTCCCAACAAACCCTATATGGCATTTTCAGTCTCTGCTTCACATTTAAACGTTGAATGTCTTTTTCAACCAACAAAACTGATGAGAAAAAGGTAGCAGCATTTATGAAAAGATGAAGGTTTATAACAACAATTAAAAAAAAAAAAAAAAGGTACCATTATCCCATTACGGAGCATTACTGTAGGGACTGAACAGAGAAGCTAGTGTTTGGATAGACCATGCCACAAAATGGTTATCACCTTTTTGTGTGCGTGTTGGATCTGAAAAGGAAAGAGCACCTGAAACGTGAACAGTCCTCGTAAGCGTGTGCGCTTTTTGCTTTCGCTCATGATCCGGCAGAAGTGCGAAACTTGCTTGGTTTTCTTCTTCTCTTTTTCCTCTTTTTTTTTTTTTTTTAAGTATTTTTTTAATCCTTTTAAATTTTTTTTTCTTCCTTTTTTTCTTTGTTGTTTTTTTTTTTTTTTTTTCCTCTTTTTTTGGCAAAGTGCAACCACACCTGGTTACCACAGTTTTGACATGGCCGAAGGTGCAAGTGTGACGAGAAACCTTGAGATCAGTTCAGGGTTCCCCTGCAGTTCTCAGAGCCACAGAGACATGGGATTTTTACATCCTCAATTGGAAACTTGTAGTCGTAGGTAATTTCCTCGTTCACATTGATGTGCTGCTTGGAGTAGATGACGATCTTCTTTTGGGACTCCACCGTGATCACTTTAGCATAACAATTTGGCTGCAAGGGTGACAGAACAGGTAATGATTTAGGTTCCCAGACTCCACACAATTACTCCAAGATAAAATAAAACAAGACAGTCCTTCCCCTTGACAGCCTCAGCCATGCTTCCAGAGCCTGGATCCAGGGGAAGCCTGGAGAGGGAGGCATGGAGCCAGACAATAGAGCAGCCCTCCTTGTGCTGCTCCAAAATATCCACATTCCAGTCATTTGTGGAGCAAAGGAGCTTGGATGATGCTCCACCAAATTTGTCACAGGTTAAGAGCAGCTCAGTGCTTAACAATTTGGCCAGGCAGCCAAGTCTGAGGGCAGATTGCAGCACGAAGCAGAGGGGAAAGCAGATTCTCTGCCTGCCAAGGCAGGGAATACTTTTCCCAAGTGGACACTATAAGGAGACTGTTCCCACAGAATAACAGTGCTAAAACTTGGTATGTTTTAAGGAAATATTTGTTAGAGATGCTTCCTCAGTGTCCAGCAGGGACAGGAGGACTCTCAGTGCCCTGCCTCCACGTGTGTCATTCCTCAGGTCTCTCCAATCTCTTTACACTTCTTTAGACCCTGCTCTGACCCGCTGCAGCTCATTAACGTTTAATCATAACCCTGTGACCCCCTGCCACTTCTGAACAGCCCAAGGACTGCCCGGGTTCCTCAGTGTGCCGGAGCACAGCCCCACGCAGGAACGCGACACTCACGTTGCAGCTGTGATTGATGAACCGGGCGAAGTTCCCGCATTTCGTGGCGTCGATGATGGTGTCGTGATCGACCCTGAACATGTAACTGCTGCCAATGCCCTCGTCCTCGTAGCGCTTCTCACGCATGTCAGCAATGACCTGCAGGAAACCCCACGGGCAGGGTCAGGACACGCCACACAAGTGCCCTGTGAGCGGCGACCTGCACAACCTGAGCTGTGCTTGTGCCAGGCAACAGGCATTTAATATGATCACAGTCACCCCAAGAGAACACAGGCCTAACTCAAAACACAGCTCAGGGTGGGCTTCTTAAGAAGGATTCTCCTGACTGCTTAGTTTTTATGGGTTGTTTAAAGTCCCACCCTTGTATCTCCAAACCATATGTCAACCTCTGTGCAGCCCACGGAGCTGACACCTTACAGCAGAACTCCAACCCCCACTGGAATACACTTCTTCCAGGGCTGGTTTTTGCTCACATTTCACCCACAGTCCAGCTTACCTGCCTGATGTTCTGACCCACGTATTCGATCACCATCTCATCAGCTGCAATGGGCTCCATAGCAAAAAGGCCCCAGTCGTGAATGTGGCTCTTACAGAATTTTAGTTTTTTCTTCCGGAACTGCATGAAGAAAACACCCCAAAACCCCAACCCTGAATTAGCCACAGCACAAGAAGGGAAAGGATGTCCCTGGGTCCAAAATCTGCAGCCTGGGGTGACCTACCTTGAGCTGGTTGAACTTGAGCAGGTCACTGTCACAGCTACCAGTGAAGGAGGAGAGGAGCCTGCGTTGCTCTGATCGCCTCTCGGAACCAGCCCGGGTGGAAGCATGAGGTTGGGCAGGGATGCTCATACCCTGAGAGGACAAATGGGTGATCAAAGCTGACCCAACACCCTGCAGGCTCCCTGTCAGCAACGCCTTGTGCTACAACACATCACCACAGAACATGTGACATCAAACACTAACACCTCCCATGCAGCTCCTGGGTGATCAACTTGACACAGGCGTAGCAACAGCTTCCCCTCCCTCCTTGCCAAAAGGCAGGAAGCACCCACTTGATAAAACCAAATCCCATTCACACCTGGCACTGAGCAGAGGATTCCTCACCTGTGTGTCAGCTGGAGGCTCCTCTGCAAAAGCTCGGCTATTGTTGAGGTATTTAAGTTTGTCCTTCTTATCAATTTTGTAATAGCCTTCACTTCGTGCACAGCCCGTCACGTGCTCCCGCATCCCATCGTCCCGCTTCTTTTTCTTGGGGGTAGAAAAGCTAGTAGGTGGGAAGAAGTTAAGGAGGAAAACAGCCAGAGGCGGACACCAGACTAAATTGCCACAGTTACATGGAGCTAACACTGGGAGCTTGGACAATTAGGAAGGGTTTGGGGGGGCTGCAAAAAATAACAATACTACTGAAAAATAAAAAAACCAAACCATCACTGGAGCCCACATGCCCACAGGAAAACCAAGCACCGCCTTTCCTTCTTAGTCACATGCCTTGGGAAACTAAAGCAAAGAAACAGTGAAAAATTTAACTTTTAAAGGTTAAGCTGTCAAGAGAAACCTGTTTGAGAAAGGATTTCCCCACAGCACCCACCACGTACCCAGGCAGCAGCTGGATGTACCATTTGCTCTGGTTTGAGTGACTCGCTTCTCTTCTACCTCCAGGAACTCCCTGCAGCCACCCCAAGCTCTGAGGACACCACATGGACCTCACAGCAGCAACATTCCCCTCTGAGCGGGGCCAGGAGCGGCACAGAGGGGCAAGAGATGCTCCTCACCCCAAAGGGCTTGGAGAGATCTCGGTAAATCAGTCCCTTCAGACCCTGATGGGAAGGGGAAAACCCTCGGCACACATTTCAAACCTTCAGGTTTGAAGGCGCCTTCAGGGCTTTGGCTTCTGGAAGGACTATGGAGCAAAACTACTTCCAGCTCACCCCAAAAACATAGCCATAAAGCCTATGATGATTGAGATTGACCCAAAAACATATCCTTAACAGCAGAAATTGAAGCAGAGGGACCATAAAAAGCAAGAGGTGATGGCCTCAAAACCAGAGTGCTGAGTGTGAGTTTGCTGCAAAGCAGGTGAACCTGCAGGAACTTTCACATCCATCACACAGTGTGGCACAGGATGAACCAGCAACTGGCTGCAGGTGATTTTTAAAAGGTTCAAAAAGTGACTATGATTTTGCTGTTACAATAATCTTCATCAACAGGGAAACAGATTTACACTGTGGGTTTTGTTAGTTATCGCTGACTATTTTAAGCAGTTTGGGTTTTTTTGGTTTTGCTTTCCTGTCTTGCAGGGAGCAATGGACAAGAAATTTGAACTCCACACAATCTCTAGCAACACACGGGGTGGTGTGTTTGTCTTCTTCAACACATAAATCCTTCCTAAAAACAGTACTGGAGAGTTCTGAGGTTTTTAGGACAGCCTTTTAGGCTCTGCTCTGGAGATCACTCCTGGTGGCTGCACACACAGTCTTGTTCTGACACAGCCTGTGTGTCCCAAAAACGCTCCCGAAGGTTCAAAGCCCCTGACTGCCAGACCAGGGGCAGGGAGGGAGGGGATGGGGCCAGACCTTCCCCACCAGCACCAGCTGGTGCAACATGTGCTCCTCACTGCAGCACCAGCAGCACATTCCCCATCCGTCCTGGACACGTGTCTGGCCCTAATGAGCCACTTAGAAATCAGTGATTTTATCAGTATTTCAAACCCAATGCAAGTTAAAAAGCTGCTAGAACCACTCTTAACTCAGCATTGTGGGCACAGATGGTGGAGATTATTTTTACAACAAGTTTTAGCCCCAAGTGAAAGCTCTGTATGTACAGACCAGAAATTCCACAGCCAAGCTGGAAAAAAAGTCTGGCTATGTGCAGACAGAAGCTTCTCCAACTAGGAAGGAAACCTCCCCAGCAGAGGTGCCTACAGACGGTCCCTGTAGTCCCAGTCTGAACATGCAGCAGGAACAGCCACTTCTGCAGTATTTTTGTATTGCAGCTTCGCAGAACAAACAGCCCCAAATCCCCTCTGCTATTCTCGTAAGCAACTGCTTCTCCCACCAACAAAATTAGTCCTTTGCACCTGAAGTCCTCCCCAGTGACCATCTCGTGCATCTCACACGTGCTGTGTAACGCTGAGAAAGGATATAAGGATGGAATACCCACAGGGTGTCATTGAGCCAGTCCATGCCATTGTCCTGCTGCAACAGGCGGTCATATGTGATACACATGAATTTGATATCTTCCTCGTCTATGCCCCCGTTCCAAATGTCATACAAAATGGTCATCTCCTCAAACTCGGAGCGCGGCCTGAACTGAGGCCGGGGTGGGGAATACTCTGGGGAAGGGATCACCGGGAGGTCCTCAGATGTTTTCTTCTGCCTTCGCCACTGCCTTTTAGGTTTAGCTTCTTCTTCCTTGAAGTCTTCATTCCACTGGTTCTCCAGTTCCTTAAATGGCAGTTTCTCCGCAACTGTCTCAGCTGCTATTTTCTCATGGAAACCGTCATTCCTGAAGTCCAGGGTGACGGCTTCAGGGTCTTTCAGTCCATAGTAAGCATCAGGATGTCCACTCAAGAGCTCTTTGCCCACAGGACCTTCCACCAAGGCCACTGGCACGGGAGGAGGTTCTATGGGTTTGCCTGAGTACACATCCAAGGAGAGGACAGAGGGTGGTGACCGTCTTGGCCGACCCGGCCTCCTTTTGGGAAGAACAGAAGGTGGTGGGGGGGGAGGAAGAATAGAAGCCCCAGGGGGTACTTCTGGTGAGAGCAAACCAGATTTTACTTCTGCCTTGCATTCCTCAATGGGCATTCTTCCATCTCCATGCATGCACGGCAGGGCTGCTACAGGTATTGGCTCATCAGGTGGCAAACCCATGTCCATGTGGAAATCTGCTTGGGGGGGGCTGGCGAAGGGGATAGGAGAAGGAACACTGTTCATGCTGATCGTAAGGGAAGCACCAAGAGGCTCTTTAAAGGGTTTCTCATCCAGCTCATCCTCTGACTGTTTCTTGCCAGACAGAAGGCAAGGAATGGTAGCACCAGCCTCTGGGAAAGTGGGCGTGAAATTGAAATCTCTCCCAGGAGTCCGAGGAATGCCACTGTTAACGCCAGGAGATTGGGACGGGTAGGAAAAGGGGCTCCCTGGGACTTGAGGGGAACTGAGGGTCAAGCTGCTTCCTGTAAGGGGAGCATCACTTCCTGGCGTGGCTGGAACAGTGTCCGTGCTCTGCGACTTTGCAAGAGGGTGTGAAGACTTGGCCAAAATGTCCCGCCCAGGAGTCCTCGGAATCTCCTCTTCCACAGACGTTTTGGTCACCATTAATTGTTCAGGGAACTTTTCTGGAGGGACTAAAGATTCCTCCTTACCGGGAGTCGATGGCAAGGGAAGCATGGAGGATGGCACCTTGTGGGCTGGAAGCAAAAGAGTGTCAGTCTCCGAGTGGATCATCACCTCCCGTCCCGGCGTGCGGGGCAGCCGCTCGTCCTCCTCCGCTGCCGAGGGCAGCTTTGGTTTAGCACAAGCTTCTGAGCTGCTGTCGTCAGATTTGCCAAAGAAGCTGCTTTTGTTGGGCAGAGGTTCTCCGAAGACTCCCACTGGAGTGGAAATACAGAGCGTCGCCTCCTCATCTTGAGATTCAGGCTTTGGACCTTCCTGGACCTCTGGCTCCAGCATGGAAGTGGGTTCGGATTCTTCCTCTGAAAGGGGAAAAGAGAGGAAAATCAAGAGCTTTGCCTCCACTTGCCAGTAAAGGCATGTTTAAGATGCCACGGTTAGAGAACAGCTCAATTCCACTGGGAGGCTTAAAAACGCCAATGCTTTACATTTTGGAGGCACGGAGCGTGGAGTAATTAGACACTACCACAGGCATTCCTAATGGACCATAAAAAACCCGCACTATTAATTTGAGGATTAGCTACAACACAGACCAGAACGAAGGTTTTCTGCTTTCAAAATCCCTGACAACCTTTTGTACAGACATAAAAAGATTCAGCGGATTGTGGGGCGAGGACTTTGGAAGAGAGCTCCTGGAGCCTCGAGCTATCAGCTTGTCTGATGTGGGAAGGTAAACTCATTGCAAGGCCAAGGAGCACCCTCAGCTCTCCAAGGAGGGAGTGGTGAAGGGAGGAGCAGAACACTCTTGAACAACACACGAAGGAAACGGGAAGCCCTTGTAATGAATGAGGAGACACTCAGATGGTATCAATGAGGCAATTTATATGCTGCTCTCCCTGCAGCAGCCTCATTTGTCTGGAGTTTATTTACTCACTTAGGGCCAGGTCCAAAAGGAATCATCGGTGAAATCTTGTTAGGCAGCTCAAAATAACATTTTCAAGTGGGAGAGCAAAAGGAGGTGAAAATGCCTGGAGAACTGGAAGGGAAGAATTCCTCATTTGTGCTGAATGAACCAGAGAGTGGCTGGAGAAGAGTCTGAGCCCTTCTCAGAAGGGTCTGGGCTGCTCAAGAAGAATGTGGCAATTTGAGCTTGTTCCCACAGCTTACCAGGAAAGCTCATTCCACATGTGAAGGTACCCAAGTGCAGGTGTTCCCAAATTTGTGTCCTTTCTACACACTGACCTGTTCTAGAAAGGGTTAGTGCAAAACCAGACCCATATAGCGTCCCTGTCACAAACTGCTTTGCTACTAAACCAAAAAAAAAGCCAGTAGTGACACAGTAAGCACAGACTCCTGTTCTGTTTTAGCAGCCATGGCTTTTCTATCTTGAGCTTCAGCCACCACCCGATCCGTCACCCTTGGACGATGACAACTGTTCGGTTCCTGTAGGACACTAAACTGGCTCAGGATAAGATTCTGGATACAGTAACCACAGTATTTTTAGTAGCAGATGGCTTGTGTAAAGCTCCTTACTAGGAAGGAAAGTTCAGCACAGACCTTTTTCCCTGTACAGATAATCCCAGCCTAGAGCCAAGAGGAAGGAAGAGAACATAAGAAATACAAACCCATGCATATTGGATACTGTGAGAAAATGTACTTGGAAATGTGGTAAACTGTGCCAGGGCACATGGAAAGGCATACCTGGCCTACAGATGGGAGAGAGAGCAAGTTTTGTCTCCTGGTCTCTTTCCATAACCAAGTGTTTCAGAGTTTCAGCAGCAAGAGATGCCCCTGTGATTTGGCCACATTCACTTTCCCCTGCTTTGATTTCTTCATGGCCTTCATCTTTCACTGCCAAAGCTGGCTCGGCGAGTCCCAAGCCCGTTGCATCCATGTAGTCATCCACAGGATACAGCTCCAAAATAGTCTCCCTCTCGTCGTCAGGAATCTCATGACCGGTAGGTTCATGCTCTGTCTCAGCAACCATGGCTTCTCGGTCTTGATCTTCAGTCACCTCTTCCTCCTCTTCCTCCTCCTCATCTTCATCATCATCATCATCCTCATCATCATCATCTGAGTCTGAACTTGACTCGAATTCAGAGGAGTCCTCACTTTCATCGGATGATTCAACTTCAGCCTTGGAAGATGAGGGACTTGCTACATCTACAAGAACAAATTACCATTAGTTCCACTTTCTGGCCTAAATCAGGGGCAAATATCCCTTCCACACTGTAAGGGCGTGGAAACAGCAACAACAGCAGCGTGTGGGTTTGAAGGAGTGGCCTCTCAATTTATTTATTTTTGCAGAGATTTATAAATCCTGCCTTTGGATGCTTATAGCAGTGACCATACAGCAGGCAGTTCCATGAACAGTGCTGCCTGGCACCTTGCTCATGGGGATTGTACCTTCTACTGAGATTTTCTGCTGCCTTTACAAACAGATTTGAAAAGTAGAAACTACCACCTTCCAGAGCAGGAACTGATTGGTAGGACAGAAAGTTATTAGTGGCCAAATTACCCCTGTTTGAAATCCGGTCCCTTCTCCTCCCAGTCACTCGTGTTTCATAACACGAGCACACACTCAGCTGACTCTGCCCTCCTGCCAGGCTGGGCTGAGATCACTCAGGGGCTGGAGAGCTGCTGCAAAAGGACCCACAGACTGAGGGATCGTGAAGTCTTGCAGGTAACAATTAAAAATACCTGTTACATCTTGTATAAAATTGCTCTCAGTGAAAGAAGGTGCACAAGTAACAGAATCAGCTCACAAGAGCAGAAGGGAGATTCCAGCTGACCCTGCTGCTTCCACTGGAACTGCTTACCCTCCTCAGAGTCCTGCTCCTCCTCCTTGTCACTTGTGTCTATGCCCGTCTCCTCCTCCTCATCTTCATCCTCGTCATCGTCATCTTCATCCTCATCATCTTCATCCTCATCCTCCTCCTCTTCCTCCTTTGCAAGAAAGCATTGCCAAAAATGAACAGTGCCTGACCCTGTGACCTGACTGTCACTGTAGTAGCCACCAGTGGCTCCCAAGGAGGCTGATCAGAGAACCTGAAGAGGGAATGACCTTTACAGAGGCTCTCTGAGGACAGACCCCAACAGCAGCACTCATCTCCCAGAGAAGGGAACTTCAGCATCTGGCATTATCAGGCCCCCTTTTAATGACAGACAGCACGGAAAGTGCAGTCACAAACCAACACACCTTGCCAGGCGCTGCTTTCACCAAGCCTCCCTCTTCTTCCTGCTCTTCTTCCTTCTCCGAGGAGGATTCTTCCTCCTTCCCTGATGTCTCATCTCCCTCTTCTCCCTCACTGTCGAGCTCCAACGGCCTTGCTGGTCGCCGCCTCAGCCCCACTGCTTCTCCATCCTTCTTTGACAGGTCAGATGTGGTATCGGAAGCATCCCTGTCCCTCTCTGACTCTGAGGAGCAAAAACAGGATGGAAACTGCCATCAGATACCTCGCAAGGGAGGGAAAGAGTTAACTACACAAAGGAAACTTTTTCTCTGGGAAGATGGAAGTGACAGTCCCCAGGCTTACAGGGACTTGCTAATGTCACAGTGCAGGGGTGCAGAGTGCTGATGGCAAAATGTGGGTGGGCAAAGCTGACACACTCCAGGCAGAACAGCCAGGAGACATGGCACAACTGAGGTCAGGATAGGTAACCTGAATTTAATGCCTTTTTAAGTTTTACAAAACCCTCCCTCTATACTCTGGCTTCAAAACCAGTTGTTAGTCTGAATCAATTTTAACTTGAATCCATGCTTTTATGCAAAACAAAAGGTATTCAAAGTTTTACCTTCTCTCTACTCTTCCCTGGTTGTAGGAAATAGTGTCAAGATATTTTCAAATAGATTTTTCTGGCAAAAAACCTTTGTTTTCTTTTAAAATCAAATGCAGAGAAAACTGTTACACGCCCCAAGCAGTCCATGAACCCACCTGAGCTCCCTCTGCTGGGGCCCAGCAGAGATAAAATAGATTACAAGTTATTCTTAAAACGTGGGTCTTAAATTTCCCACCAGTGAATTTAAGGTAACTGAACCCAGAGGAGCCATCTCCCAGCTCTCAGAGCTTTGTGAGGAGCAGGGCTTGGCTCAGATCCCTGACTCTGTGTTCAACTGTAAGCAAGGACACTGCTGTGAAGTTTAAAGGGATTCGGCTTGTGTGTGGTTTGCATCTGCTCTTGTGTTTCACACAAATGTGCTTTGCAAACCTTCATCTTCATCATCGACAGAAGTAGAAGGCCGGATTCTCTTCTGATCTCCTGCTGAGGCAGCTTCAGGTGGCTCCTTTCTTTTCACCTGAACAAAGGACACAATTAGCATTTCTGAAAGTTTAGAAACAGCAGAAATCAACTTCTTAAGCAAATTACCACTTCTTTGCTTTGCCACGGTCACTTACACTCAGAAACCAAGGGCCACTTCCCAGCTCTTGATCCCTTTATTTGCTTGCAAACAGAATTTCACTGCGAATGAAATTCTACCCCTTCAATTTCCATCAAAACACTCTGGGTACCAGCATGGGGCATGTCATCACCAGGTACTTTGAGGATGACAGAGAAAACTCTTGACAAATCCATGTGTCTGAGATGTAGCAGAACAGAAAGAGAGCCTAAGCCTAAGGCATCCTAAAGTACCTCAAAGCAAGTTTTATGCTAAATAAAGACTGCAGAATTTCTCATTCCAAATCTTCACTAGCACCTTCTGTGCATTCAAAATCCTAATTTCAGAGAAGCCCTCTACCCTCTCCCACCCCACTTTTTTTTAAGATACTTTGAATTTTTACGCAAATGCTCTTTAAAATAGGTGACTCTATGTTGGTGAGTCTCAGTCTGCAAACTCACAGGAGACAGAGTTTAACCAGCCTCAGGTGAGACTCAGCTGCCAAACTGCCACACAAAACAGTAACTGTGTAAAGCACTACAAGCATAAGTGTATTTTTACAACCATGCTGAAATGCTGTGCCCTAAACACAGGCAAATGTCCCATTTCTCTTGTAGAGCAGGAAAACCCTCTACAGACAATTCACACAGGTGGAAGATGAAAAGTAAGGCTGGGACAGAGGGTCCTTGCTCTGGTACTGGGGGGTTACAGTGATGTCAGAAGCAACCCTGTGAGTGAACACAGAGCAGAGTGAACAGCCTGAGGGCTGTGGGGCACAAACCCAGCCAGGCCTGTCCTCCTAAGGCTCCTCTGGGGAATGTCAGCATAAGGATGCCAGTTTTCTGTTTTCACCTTGAAGGATGGCAGCCGGATGGCCCCTCGTAGCCCAATGCCCAGGCCGATTGCCTCATATCCCAGGCCTTCTCCTTTGTTCCAGTTCTCCAAAAGACAGGATGCGATTCGATCCTTCGGCTTTGGTTTTTCCTCCACTTCTCCTCCAGACTTCACTGGAGTGAGAGACGCCTGCAACAGAGAAAGCACACTTGAGAGGGGAAGTTTCCTGGGAAGGACACAAATCCTAGAAGCCATTTAGACAGTCAAAGTTTGGAAAATATCACTGCCCTGCCTAGGCATCCGTTTCTTTGAGGGCATATGAAGATGCCCCACATGGCCCCACATACTTGAAAGCAAACAGAGCTGCACACACACCTCTTACAAGTAACTTGAGTGTTCTTTAGGCAAGTCAGCCAGTGTGTTATCTACCTCCTTCGATAACCCACATAGCTGAAAGCAACTCCAGACCTTCCAGTGGGGAAGACCCTCCTTCTTTTGAGTGTAAGGCAAAATATAGTGCGTCAAAAATCACACACATCCCTGTGTTTCCTTAGCAACCACAGCCCAAGCCCACAAAACCTGTCAGAAGGCTCCAGTACTGGGAACAGGAAAATCAAAATATTCGGGTGAAACACAAAATTTGGTCACTGGACATACAGCCTCAACAAATCCCATTTCATCAGAGCTAAGGTGTGAAGGAAAAGCAGGAATTCAGACCCCTGCAGCTGTGGAGAGGTGGCCGAGCTAGGAGAGCATTACATGTGGTGGCACATCACGCTCTGCCACCTCTTCCTGAGTGAAGGGTACTGGAGGTAACACTCATTTGCATCAGCCCATGGCACAACACCATCTAACAAGCTGTTTTTTCTTACACACTAACAGAGCTCGTGTGCTGGAGTGGGCTGTAATCACCGAGGAGGCAGCCTAAGCTCAGCTCTCCTGCTAATAAGGGATAAGACTAATGGGAATACTGAGCAGAGAATCCAAGCGGTAGCACTCCGTGGCCAGGGATGACTGGTTATTCCTGGCACTCTGCTTAATGCATTTTACTCAGGCTTTCAAACCCAAACCCATCACTAGATTTGGGAACAGGGAAAAGCTTTCCCCTATCTTAGGTAGTAGACAAGGCCCATGGAATGTGCTGCCTTCTCTAGCAACGTGCTCCTTCACAGCCTGCTCCCTGTAAATTTTCTATTCTGTCTGACACGGGACACCAGCTTTATCCTTGGGCTTTCCCACCTTTTACCTATGGCACGATACCTCCTGGCAGTCAATCAGCTGCCTGAATTGATTCCTTTGATAGAATATAACAGCCAAAATCAGTGTGATGGCAAAGCACGTGGAGACCTGACCTCCAGCTGCCACCAAGGAGCCCAGCTGGCTCATCCTCACACATACACAGTAGAGAGGGACAGTTGAAGCTGAACAATTGTATTTAATTTTCTTATGGCTGAGAAGGAATCCTGTCTCACTCCAATGCCAGGGGTGCCCAGTCCTAGAGAAAGGAGGCTCTGAAACCTGTGAGGTTTTTCTCCGCACAACAGTAACATGTGGCCTGGCAGAAGCCTTTCCAGGCAGCGCCCTGGGGCAGAAATGGTTCTGGCATCTCTGTTCCTGGACAGAAAGCACACGTGGTTTTCCATGCAGCAGTTTCCTATTTTCAATTACACTGCTCACATCCAACATAACCTGTGGCAAGGACTGTGACGAGTTGCTGTGGTACAGCCAGCTTCCCTTCCCAAAGCGGGTTACAAATTCCAGGTGAGGGAGGAACATGCCAAATCCAGCCATAGCTTGAGGTGTAAAAGAGCCTGAAGATCTGCCTTGACTTGCTTCTACTTCTTCAGTGCAGATGTCTGGTTTAAAACAATTTCTTGAGTATTTCAGTTGTTGCTTTTGCAACTATGTACTGGATCTGTTTCCTTCATCGCCCTGGAAACTCGGGGGCCTCCTCCAAAACTGTCAGCACACGCTCGCTGGCAGGGGGAAAAGCTCTGAGCATTAGTCAGAAGAGTGATGGTGTTTCTTGCTGCATGTCACACCAGCCCAGCTCTGAGCCAGAGCAAATTACACTGTCATAAAACAGCTGTTAAGCAACAGCATTACCAACCTTCCAGAAAGCCAGGCAGCTCTCCCAGGCACTAGAGTTAACATGCAACTGGTTTACAAAAGCAGGTGGGGAAGGTACTGCTCTGAAAACTGACATCTGAGACACAAGATCTATCTGCAGGCTGTGGCTTGGTTTGTTGTTACTTTTTCAATAATTCACTGTAACGGTGATTTTGAGGCTTGCATGAACCTTTCTGCAGTGTTACTTTTTTTTTTGGTAGTGACAAATTCACCACACATTAGATCACAGAGCTGTTTCCTGGCTGAGGTACACTTCAAATTGGGTGAGAAAGGATCAGATGATTCATGCAAAGCTGTTTTCTTAACTAATCCCTGGAACTCCTCACGTATTTGGCCAACGCTCAGCTTTTGAGTTAATTGCTGCTGTGAACATGCACTGAGGAGGTGGGAGAACTGGAAATACCCACAGACCTCATCACACGAAGTGGGGAACACAAAACTTGGTGCTTTCAAACACTCCTCCTTTAGTTTTTTGGAGCTAAACTTGGTTCTGATGGCAAAGCAGCATGAAATACCTGCATATACAGAGTGACACGATGGAAATAAGCCAGGTTCAATATCCAGGTGCTAAGCTGTCCCCAGGCAGGTGCCTGTAGTGACTGAGCACCTTCCAGATACCGGTAGGCTGAGTCTGGTGCTGCTGCCTACCCCAGCACACAGACCAGCCCCACGGGCATGCATGGAGCCAGGTGAGGGACAGGGACACGTGTGTCTCCCATTTCATTTCAGCAGCCTCCAGCAATGGGGTTCCTCACAGCAAAGCTACTCCGTGGCTTTACTTTTTCCTTCCGTTTTAGTTACCATAACAATTTAGGGCTGTGGGTTCTTTTAAAATCACTTCCAGACCCCTGCTGATGCATGCCCTAGCCACAAGCACTAAGAACAGTTTAGGATCTAGCAGAGAGCACGTGAAAGCCTACCTTTGCCAGACGTTCCTTCTTGTCCCACCAGTCATCAAATGCCCGAAACGCCACCACTTCAACCATCTTGCGGTTCAGGTCCCTTTTCATGATAGCCTTTAGCTCCTTCACTATGACCAGGAGGACTCCATCCACAGTGGCTTTGTGGGGATCTTCCTTCTTCGGCTCATACCCCGGTGGTGGAACCGAGGGGTCAAACTTGGGCAGTGGGGGCCACTGCTGCCCACGGCCAAGAGCAGCTCCCATGGAGAAAGGGCGGTAGGGAGGGAGGTTCACGAACTGCATCCGGCCCGTCATGAAAGGGGGATACTGGTACGTGTTCTGTGCCTGCATCATGCGGCTCAGCATCTGAGTTTGCATCTGGAAGGACATGGGCATGCCACCCCACTGGTTGCCCAAGACACTTATCATATCCACCTGCATGACAGGGAACATGCCAGGATGGAAGGGAGGGAGTGGAGGCAAGATGTGCGGCGGGGGGACCCCGGGAGGGGCCGGGAGCGGCGGCGGGGGGACGGTGACGGCGGGGTGGGTGGGTGGAGGTGGCGGAGGCAGCGGTGGAGGCATCGGGAAGCCTGGCTGGGGAGGAGGCGGAGGAGGAAGAGGAGGGAATCCCGGTGGTGGCAGAGGGGGGATCGACGGGGCCATCACGGCCGTGTTGCTGACGGAGGAGTTCACCACAATGGTTTTGGCACATTCCGCGCTGGTGATGGGCGCTGGGTTGGTCTCATCGTCGGAGATCTCCATGTCCTCCCCTGAGGAATGCTGACCCTGCGACAAAAGAGAGAGTAAAGGTGACCAGCACATTCCTTTTATGTTCAACACCACAGGGCGGGAATGCTTCAAACAAAAGCTAAGTTTAACACACAGTTTAATTGGGAATAGGGGAAAGCGAGCCAGCGATGCTCTGAAAAGACAGGCCCCCGAGCAGCTGGTGCCTATTGAAGCTTTTCTCTTCCATGTCAGACCTCAGGAATCAGTGAGGTAAAAGCCTTCTAAAAGAGCATCAGTACAAACTGAACAAAACCCTCAGCTTCTATGGAACAGTAGGAATTGCTCCCATGCTCAGCAAAATACACACAATTCAAATGTCTTTCACTGCAAGACACATTCTCTCTCATTTGCATCTAATACTGACAGGTACATTACACCGTGAGTTTTTATTCCTTGGTCTCTCCATGCACAAAGAATTACCCTGTTTTTTAATTATAAACCATGGCTCATTTGCTGCCAACTCTTAACCTCTAATTGAGGGAAGACAACACTTCCACATGGCTGCTGCTACTAAAAGTTGTCTCGACTAGACCACAGCAATTCAGGTGGGGAAAAAAAGAGCCACAAATCTTGTTAAATTGCTTTTAAACATCAAAGTGATAAATGCTGGGATTCAAAGACATAGAATATGTCATGTTTTGGGGCAAAAGGATTACTTTCCTAGCCATAAGAAATACAGAGGTATAGAAAATGCTAAAACTATGTCCCACCTCCTTTGCCAAAGGGATGGAAACTGGACTGAAACAGAGGGTTCCTGCTTGCTCTGAAGTCTCAAAGCTGCCTGACTAAGTCTTGTAAAACAGAAAAGCCTCAGGAACCCAACAGCACATGGTCACTCCTGCACACTGTGTCCTACAGGCACTTCAGTCCTCGAGGTGTCTCCAGCACCAAGAATCCACATGCATAACTGTCCCACCCCTCAGGTACTGTTAAAACAAACCCCAATAAGAAATACAGCAACCCAACACTGCTGGAAGACATATCCACACACTGACAGTTTATCTAGGAAACAGGAATGGGGCTGATCTCTCACTAGAGTGATGACAGCAGACAGGACAGGGTCCCAGTAACCTTCTCCAAAAATATTTCTCACATTGCTGATCTCAGTAAAGACCATCTTCATGTCACCAGAGCCCTCCTGCTTGCTCTGGGAGCTGCAGGCTCCAGCCCAGCCAAGCCAGGAAAAGAACACCATCAAGTGGTCTGCTAGTGCCTCTCTCTGTCACAATCCTGGCAAGAGTTTTGGAACCTGATGGCTGCTTTCAGCCAAATTTGACTGTAGATCCCAGAAATATTTATTATTTTCTCCATGTCTTGTGCCAGCAGGTACCTTTCCCGTCTGCTCTCCCACCAGTCACCCCACTTTGAAAGGAAAGAGCAGTGTCAGACACTGGAGAAGTTCTGGGGAGAGCTGCTGGGGAAGAAGCCTTTACAGAATCATGGAATATGCTGAGCTGGAAGAGGACCCACAAGGATCATCGAGTCCAACTCTGAGCCCTGCACAGGACACCCCAAGGGTCACAGCACATGCCTGAGAGCGTTGTCCAAACACTTCTTGAAGTCTGTCAGGCTTTGTTGGCAGTTCTCTCCCTGAAGCAGCTGTGATTTGATTTTTAACCTGTGAATCTCGCACTGGGGTACGGGAACAAAAGAAAGAACAGCTGAGTTGACTCTGCTATGAACTGCCACTGGGTGAAGCTGAGCAACCACAACTATCCAAATCATACCAAACACTTCATGTTTTATCAAAGGTCATCTCTGCTACAGCAGCCACCGCCAGAGAGCAGGCTGAGCACGGCGCTCGCAGCAGCAGCTGTGCAAATCCTCCGTCCTGGCACCTCCCCTCGCCTGCCTTCCCCGCATTCCGCTGCAGCAGCACCCGGAGCCTCACGGAGGAATGTGTGGGGCATCCCCAAAAAGCCTCTCGCAGTTTTAGTGGTCTGAAAATGCCCAGCAAGGACACTCATTCACCTGGCAAGCCCCGAGCAAGTGCTGTCGACTCTCTGCTAATGGTGGCAGAGAGGGGACTCTCCTGTAGTCACAGAGTCACTTCAGTGCATCTTTACGTGCAGGGAGGACTCCAAGGGCTGTTTTGAAAACCCTGAAATGAACAGCTGAAAAATGAAGTAGAAATAATAATCCATTGCACTTCAGTCTTTCCAAAGCCCAATTGTATCATTCCCTCGAGGTGTCCACATCTGGCTAACACTCCCCAGTGGGTGTCACACCCTGCATCCTCGCCCCAGCTGCTCTATTGCAGTCACGTCCCACGCCGAGAATGACAGGGAATGAAAGGACATTCTGCAGTTTCAACTGCTGCAGCTCCAGTGAAAGGAGCAAAGGAAGAGCAAAGATGACTGTGGCAGGTGTAAACAAGTTTCCTGTGAAACAGACCCCGTTTTTCAGTAAGTGAACAAAAAAGGCCCTGTTAAAAGCACTGGCTCCAGCTGCAAAAGCTGGATGATGCTAAAGGTCAGCGTTGAACAGAAAGTCAGGAGTGTTCAGGCTACCAAAGACAGACCAAATCAGCTTCAAATTCACATTCATCTCATCTGATGGGGTATGGAGAAAAGTCACCTCATGAAGCCTCAAGGGAGCACCAGGTAGTGCCAGGCCACAAATTCTCCCCAGTCCCTCGTGTAGGACCCTGTACCCTCCCAGAGCCACCCAACACCAGTGTGAGTCACAGCTCAGGACTGGTCTCTGGTGAGCACACAGTACCAGACCCAAAGGACCTGTCCAAGACAACACATCATCCCTTCCTGGAGCACCACCAGCCCCGAGCCCATCTCAGCCAGTCCTACCACAGGAGACCCCTCGTGCTCACCCAGAGTCCACTCCCAGCCACACCAGCCTTTACCCACTCTCAGTACCAATGAATCCTGCCTGATAAACGAGCTTGGTTTTCCCTCTTGAAGGAAATACCACACAGAAAAAGCCAATCCTGAAACTGCAGAGAGGTGGCAGGACTAGCAGGATTCCATGCTGTAGGGCACAGAGCTTCCTTCATTCATACGGGCATTTATTTTTACTTAAGCTGAAATGAGAACTGCTAAAGCAAAAACCAGCACGTCTGGAAAATTTAAAAGTTTTTTTTTAAATTCTTCTGGTGCTCAGATGGGTGTGCAGGAAGCAACACCAGACTCCCTGCTTCCTACAGGGCTGGGCTGACAACTCACCTGCACTTGCACAGTTCACACAGTCTGTGCTCCAGTTTTATCCCAAGCAAGATGGAAAGGGAGAGGGAAAGAGATTAAGTGACAGGGAGAAAAAGATCAGAAAAGGCACAGGAGGGTGGGGGGAAGAATCACAAGGTTAGGAAAGAGGTCAAACCAAAAGAAGATCATCTACAAGGAAGGCTTTAAAGAAAGTTAAGAGAAATGAATATTTAAAGAGGATGAATGGTTACAGGAAAGTCATATCTAAGGGGGGAAAATGTAGGCACCAAGTGAAAGAGAACAAGGTAGAGACAGAAAACCAAGGGGAGACATAGAAATATCTTCTGTTCTATGAATTTCTTTTCATTCACCTGTCTGAACCTGGATTTACTACGGTTATGACTGAATACCTCTCAGGGTATTCAGTAGCTCAAAAGTAGCTATGCTGTCCTCTCAAAGAAACCCCTTCTAGCTGGCCTCCCTATTTGCTCTCACAAGCAGAAAAAAGTGAGCTGATAGATGACACATGTAGTGCCATGAGGATGTCATGGCCATCACTGTCAAAAAATCTGTGTCAGTCAGTCCTGCAGTTCACCCGCCTGTTTCTGAGGTCATCTGGTACAATGCCACCAGAAAACCTCCTTCAGTCCACTGAGAGAAAAGCCATTTCCAGCTAAATTAATTTGTGCTGCCATCTTTGCTTTGCCTTAATTAAATTAAGAGTTAGCAAAACAGGTATTTAATTATACACATGACACATTTCTCCAAAGGTGTTTTAATGATGCAAATTTGTTGGGAGAGATTCATGTCAGCGTAACTGGTTATAAATGGCCTCATTCACTGTTCACCCAAAATGCTAATTGCCACCTTTAACACCAGCACAGTGTGCAGAGCCTCTTGAATTAAATGAGGGAACACCCTGGGATGCCACTCCTGGATCAGCCTGCACAGTGACAGGGTAGAGCCACTGCATGCAGGGTATCGATCTCACCTCAGAGCAACACCCATTTTGCAAGCAAATGTTCACACCTGCAGAAAGAAGAAACTACATCCTAACATTTGCATGTGTACCTTCACTGTACACACTGTTCAGTACCTTTCCTACAGGCAGAGGAACTTCACATGCTTCCATTTCCTTTTAAAAGACCATCTGATAGAGAATTTACCCAGAATTTCAGAACACGTTTTGAATACCATCAGCTTACAGCCAATTTCACTTAAAAATTCTGCTGGGTACCAAGTTACTTATATTTGAGGTAGGGTAGCAACTACTCTGACACCGCCTGGCTGAGCTGTGGTGCACCAAAATAATGAAATGCAGGATCAATGGCATTCAGCACAATACAAGGGCATTAGCTTTAATGTTTTTCAATAAAGCCAAAACTAAAATCAAAAGTGACTCTTGGACAAAAAGTTTTCATAACCTGGTTAAACACTCATCACTTGGTTTTGGATTGAGTTCATCTAAGGGTTGAAACAATTTACAAGTGATCAAGTCTAACTGTGTATTTTTACAAAAAAAGCAAGGAAAAAAAAGCCTCCAGAGAAAACAACTGACCAAAGAGGGTCATACACCAAGTCACTAGCGGAGTCAAGAACAGACTCCAGGTCCCTCCAAATTCTTATTCCCCAGATCCAGTAGTCTCCCCACACTGGGCTCACACCAAGCTCCTCATGGTCTGTGCTCTGCATTTGACAAGGGAAATGGCACTACTGCCTTGATTTCCTGGTGAAAGTAGCCCAGTAATACACAGCTCTCCCTTCCCGGACTCCTTACGGAGAACGAGGCATTTCAAACCTGACACATTTCTTATGCCACCACCCAGAACAAAAAGGAAG